TGTGGCCCCTGTCAAGCGCTGGGCCCCCTGAATCTGCCAGGGTATCCCTGCCCCTACTGTGGCCCCTGTCAAGCGCTGGGCCCCCTGAATCTGCCAGGGTATCCCTGCCCCTACTGTGGCCCCTGACCGTGGTGTATCAGACAATGTTCATCAGACTTTATACATCCATCAATTCACATTCTGCAATCCTTGATCTTGACTGCATAAATTTTATCATAAAATCTGCACAGAAAATATACAAGGAACACAGATTTTACGGCTCAAAACTCTTCTAATTCCTCATAAGGATTGATTTTAGTTAGTAGGGTTCACGCCAAATAAATGCTTTACTTACCAATGACTTCTCCCCAGACCTGTCAAGGAAATAAAAGAGGAATAAAACAGGTTAACAGAGCTAGAAGCAACAAGGATAAAGTACAAAGGTCATGGAATACTGACCTCGTATGAGAGCATACACACCTTTTAATCTTTCATACATCTTATTGAAATATTGTTCATTTACAAAAGATATGAAAAAGCTATGTAAATATTTAACTATGTTCTATGATTTTAATAAGAATTTTGAAACATTTGCATTATGTTAACATGCATGTATCCAGCAAATGCTTTTGTCCAAAGTCAGGGTCAGAGAGAAGGTCTGGCCAGACCCTGAAGGAACTGCACTACCCACGGGCATAACAATGACGTCACTTATAGCAAGTGTGCTTTCTGTGGATGAATGGGCAGTGCGGCTTGCAAAGGATCGTCTGCGGACTAACTGCCTACTCCCAGGAACATGCACTCTCACATCACTCTAGTAGTGCGTTCTTGTTACTGGGCATTAGCTCACTTACAGCCCTCCTCCTGCTATCTCTACTGGTGAGCTTTAGGGTGGGGGCTTAGTGTTTCTGCCCCTGGGGGGTCTGCAATACCCACTAAAACAGAGGTCTATTACCATGCCTGTTTAGCAGGTCATTGGTGGTGACACCGTGCTTCTGCATTCCACAGGTGCACATTCTGCTTGTATGAGTAACACCATGTGCCTGTCAGCCAGGTCTTGGAGTAAATCATCCAGCAGTTCCATTACATTAACAAAAAACAGCCTCACATAACACAAACACTGATACCTCTCTGTCCTTTAGCCTTACCTGGTAAGGGCTTGTATTCTCTGAAAGAGAGATCAAAAGTTACTATTATCTAACTGCATGTATATAGAGTATAGATTTAATCATTCATACCACTGGGCTTTTCTAAATTAGATCAAGAAAACAGCATAGAGTACAACCATCACCCTAGAAGGATCCGAACGTCAGCATTAGAATGAGTGTTCCTCATAAGCTGTGATGTAAAAATATTTCTGAAAATATTTAATACTGACACCTAGACAGGGCCGGATGTAACAGGATGTATGTAACGGTGCTCCATTTTCAGAATACAAAGATTAAGTATCTGTATTCAGTCCATGGTACATTTTGTAAGGCACTATTTAGAATCAAGTTACTTTAAAAAGACGAGAATGCATTTGCTTTGATATTATATATTAAAAGATATGTGGTTTGTTATTTGATTTGTCTTTGTTTTAAATCGTCATGCGCACTTTTCCCTTTGCCCAATAGAGGGCAGTGGTAAGCTGGAGATCAGCACGTGGAACCATGACTGCTATTGCCTAGTGCAAATGTAAACATCATTTTTACAACAAAAAGTGGAACATTGTTTATTGTTGAATGGCAGTTGGGCCTGCCAATAATAAAGACTGTCAGCATTGAAGATTTCAACTTTTAATTCAAAGAAACATTTTAAAGTAAGCAATGCTTTCAATTTAAAACTCAACCAAACTAGGGTTAGCTACAAACCTAGCTAGCATTTTAGCTCCCCTGCTTCCCTTGGTAGTATCAGGTTTTAAAACACAACATATGCTGGTTCATGCAGGTGGAATTACATTTTTTTCCACAAATTTCTGCAATGTTTTTTTTCCCCAAGGTGAAAAATATTGGTTAATCTGGTAGGCCTACCTGAACTTCTTTGTGAATATGTTGTGAGTTTTATAAAGCGATAAATAGATTTTATCATGGTTCTTTGCCATGCCACCAGAGAAAACATGCTGCAGTGTGTAAAACAAGCCAATGAAAAAGAGTAAAACAAGCCAATGAAAAAGAGTAAAACAAGGCAATGAAAAAGAGTACACTCAGATGATCCAGGCACAGGCAGCTTGTTTAGAACAAAACACTTGGAGAATTGAGGTCTTTCATATATTTCTAGTCCGGGGTGTCAAGCTGTGTAGCTCAGCTCTTTCTTTGTTCTTTCTACCACACCTCAAGAGCTGTGTGGTAATTAGCACAAGGAGATACAAGGAGTTCAATCAGGTGTGTTAAAAGAGGGGAAACCCAAAAATGTACAAGGCTCCGGCCCCCCAGGACTGGAGTTTGACACCCCTGTTCTCGTCCATTCATGGTGATATTTTATTCATGTTGATGCCGATATCCAAAAAGTAATTGACAAGTTCACCACTCAGAAGTAGGAAAAAAGAAAATAAACAAATAATGATACAGCAGAGCTGTTTACCACATACCTTTCAAAAATGTATTTTAAAAGCATTCTGAATACATTTTGTTTCATGTACTGCCACGGAATACGTTACTGAATACATTTATGTCAATGTGTTTAGTTTTCAACCATCACTACATTCCAAAGTTAATTGCCCAGCCCTGCACCTAGCCGGTGTTTTCACATGTGACAGACTTCAGGCAGACTTGACCAACCACATTTCACTTTGGTCTGCTGGGAATTCATATCATTGGATACTGTTTGTCAATGAAGCACAATGGCTAATTCTGCTAATTTTGGTATTAAACATTTTCTGCAAATAAGTTCTGCTTTAGTTACCAGACATCCCACACACAGACATTCTCAGGAATTCATAATAGTGTTTCTTTAAAAGGTTTTATGGATGATGCACAATATTTTTCAGCAATGTAGCAACAGTACTCGCTCCCTATAAGCCTGCTTCACTACCCTGATTTCCAGAGCTTTTGTGTGCAATAAGCAGCTGCTCCTCTTCCTGTTGTTTGGGGAAACATCATTCTCTGAAGCAAAGCCTTTAGTACAAAAGTATAAAATAGGAGTCACCACTAGAGGGCAAAATGATACTCCGCAGAGATGAAGTCCGTATTGTGACCTTGCTACGTATTACAAAATGGTCTTAAAATGGTTCTTAAGAGCATATTAGTAACATTGGGCCTCATTCATCAACCGTTCTTACTAACAAATTTCTTCTTAAACCCAATGTACGCACCAATGTTTTCTTATCTGAATTTGTTCTTAGCTAAGAACAGAATACATGCACACTCAAGACCATTCGTACACACATTTGAGTAATGATAGTTTGTTCAAAATAATGGGTTATAGCAGTTTTGTTCATTCTACAGTTCCTAAAATAAAAGTATTTGAATAATTTATAAAAGTAAAATATAAAAAATGATTTTAAAGTGTAACAATTATTTTCATGGTAGTAACGGCAATCATGTGGATTATAAATAGGTCTGTTTCTGCGCATTGGCCTTGCTATCAAAATGGCATTTCTTTTACTTCTTGAAGAGCTTGCCAATCGTGCTCTGAGAAGGGAACGCATGTTTGAAGATCATTTAGATTTATTTGGCACACGGCGTTCAGAGAAGGTGATATCTCTCCATGTATCAGCTTTCTTTGGGGCTTTATATCCACTGGTTACGCTACTAAATAACATGTGTCTATTTGCATTTACCTCCTGTACAGTAAGATCCAGTTATAACGGACTTCAAGGGACCTGGCAAAACAGTCCGTTATATCCAGAGTTGCTGTATGCCCAGAACACAGCTACAGGACACCATTTACTCATGCCACACCCCATTAAATTATTATAAATGATTATATTGTACATATAGTGATCCAACTTCACCTCAGCAGATGCGTGACTATTAATAATCCCGACTACGTATCTGCGCTGGATATCACCGGCACGCCACGCGCCTTGTCGGCGGAGCTGCATGTCCGTTATAACCGAACAAAACTACAGCTAAAAGCGGCCCTGGGGACCAAATTGTTTGTCTGTTATAAGCAAAATTCCGTTAAATGCGAGTCTGCTATATCCGATACTTTTTCTGCATGTTCTTAAAGGCGCACGGCCGGGACCAGCGGACCTCATCCATTATAGATAATATTCTGTTATAAGCGAGTCCACTATGACGGGATTTTACTGTATTAAATATTTCTACTTCAGCATTACTGAAGGTTTGTTTCCTCTTAATGCCAAGCGGCTCACAGACTGCACGTCTCATCGCCATTCCTTGCACACGGCCCTACAGTCTCATGCCCTTTTATGGGAAATTGCAGGGCGTTTCCCTATGCTAATTAGGACAAACTGGCACGCGCTTTCAGTTACGAAGACGTGGGATTCACCATTCTTAAGAACAAAGGTGTGAACAATTATGCTACTTAAGAACACGTCATGAATCTGACGTAGGTTGTTCTTGACAAATTCCGCAGGAACAAATTTAAGAGAATTCTTAAGAAAATATTGGTGAATGAGGCCCATTAAAGGCTATAAGTTCTTATTTGTTGTGGCTCATATCGCACTTGTATACCAGTCTTGACTATTTGAGATAAATAGATGGCACAAATTCGAGTACCAACAGACTGTCTAATAGTGACAGATGACGTAAAGTCTGCATTGTGGCTGGCTGACAGCGGATAACGGCGGTTGGCAGCTACCTACCAGATTCTCCACTTTCAGATTCACACCTGTGTCTTGATGCGCTGTCCTGGGTTCTCCTGCAGGAAGGTATTTATTCACAGCCCTTTAAACGATACTGTCAGATCTGCACTCTGTGGCTGCTGGGCTCTCTGCACGCTAATGTTGAAATAGCACACTTCTACACAGACACAGAGTATATTTGCTTAGCAAAGGCCAAAAATGCAATGTATGAAAGGAATACAAAAAGTCCAGAAGGGGTAATAATGTGACAAACGTTAACAATAACGCTAAACTGCTAAAACGTGCCATTGACTGTCAGTAGGGAAAGTTATACCGTTCTGGCTGACTGTGATAGTCCATATAAGGGATATGATTAATAGACTGACAGAATGCTCTCAGTGCGGTGTATGGAGCAATGGGCCAGTCAGACAGTGGGTGATTCCACAGGGAACCATGAACTGTGGCCTCACACCACTAGAGCTGCGGGTTCGACTCCCAGCCCTGGCTTTCTGTGTGGTGAACTTGCATGTTCTCCCAGGTTGCACTGGTCTCTTAATACAGTTGAAAGACATGCAGTTGGGTAAATTTGCATCTCAGTATTTCTGATTGCCAAGTGTGGCCTTACATGTGTTATGGGAAATGGATGGATCAAAGGATGGATTTATCTGCTGTGACAAAGGTGCCCTTGTTTGTGTGTTTCAGGTTTTATAGTGCAATCTTTACCTGGGCAAATTTTAAGATGATTACAGAGATCTCTAAAAGCTATGCAACTGTGCACTGAGCACAGGACACGCCCTCATTTTAAGCAGAGAATCAGTGACCTGTTCATCTAACTCATCTGCTTGTCATCTATGTTATCTACACGAAAATGGGTCTTTCCAACAAAAATGAAATCCGTTACTCAGGTGAACATTATCCAGGAAGTCAGACAAGAAACACATATGAATGCAGAAGGTGACTCACTGTGGAGTTCCTGCTTTCGGCCTGGTTTCAGATCCCTTTGGACGACAGGTCCTACAATAAAAACAATGGGCCTCATTCACCAACCGTTCTTACGAACAAATTTGTTCTTAAACCCCACATACGCACTTTTTTTTTTTTTTTACGAAGATTCTGACATTCACCAATGTTTTCTTATCTGAATTAGCTAAGAACAGAATCTACGCACACTCAAAACCATTCGTACACATTTGAGTAATGATAGTTTGTTCAAAATAATGGGTTATAGCAGTTTTGTT